GGAGGTGCAGGAGAAAGGAAAGAACGGAAAGGAAAAATGATGAGAAATGGAAAGAAAGGATACAAAGTCTTTGTAAATAGGGAAGGGTGGAGGGGTTGAAGGGAGGGCTGAGAATGGGGAAAAAAATAAGAACCAAGATGCATCATGTAAAGGTACGAGTTCCCAGTGAGAAATGTAAATGTGTTGCACACCTAAAATGTATCAATAAAAGAATTTAAGTAATAATAAAAAATAAAATAAAATAATAAATTTAACAAAATTTGTAAAAGAATTGTAAATTGAAAACTACACAACAGGGATGAACGAAGATATAAATAAATGGAAAGACATCCTATGTTCATGGATTGGAGGATTTAATGTGGCTAAATGTTTATATTACCAAATGTTATCTGTGAGCTCAATTCTACCCCTCTCAAATTCACAATGACATTTTTTTACAAAAGTGAGAAATATCCTAAAAATCATATGGAACCACAAATGGCACAGATAGTAGAAGCAATCTTAAGGAAGAAAAACAAAGCTGGAGCTGTATACTTTTTTATTTCAAAATACATTACAAAGCCACAGAAGTTCACAAAGTATAATTTCAGCACAAAGATAGAAAAAAATAGGCCAATGAACCTGAACTGACAACCCAGAAAAAAACCTCAGGCAGATACAGTTAATTCTGTTTTCATTAGGGTGCCTCATATGAGCCGGGGAAGATGGGCTCTTCATGAAATATTATCAGGCAATTGGATACCTACCTGTAAATGAAGGAAACAGATGCATAACAGCATACACAAAAATTTTCACAAAATCGGGAGAGGATTTAAATGCAAAACTTAAAACTCCTACAGAAAAATATAGGGGAAAAGCTCCTTGACATTGATCTTGATAACCATTTCTTGGATATAGCATCAAAGGTCCAAACCATAAAAGCAAAAGTAGATGAGCGGAACTACCTTGAACATAAAAGCTTCTACACAGCAAAGGAAACAATCAACAGAGTGAAAAGTCAACCTACAAAATAGGAGAAAAATCAAGCAGTTAATCTCCAAAGTAGAAGAAGAGCTCCTACAAATAAATGGAAAAAGCAAAAGCTCCTAATTTCCAGATTTTAAAATTGAATAAATATTTCTCAAAATAAGACATGTTTTACTGTTTTTGGTAAAGTCAATTGAAAACATTGTCACTGGGCAGGAATTGGCAAGGGGCCTTGATGATTATTGACTTTGCATGAATATTCTCTTCCAGAGACTAAGGTAGAGCTCCACACAGCTATAAAAACTCATGGTTGGAGAGGGGTTTCCTAAATGTCTGCTGACACCACACACATCTATGCATCCACTGAGGCCATCTTACTATCCTGAGAAAGGAAGAAAGAAGTAAAGTGGAGGAATTCAGCAGCCTGATTTCTTAAGAGAGTCTTGTCTGTCAACAGAAAAAGCCAGCTCGGGCCCAGGGGTACAGAGCTCGGGGAAAATTCAGGTCTCAACCCTGCCACATCTGTCCTATCAGGTCACGGCCTTGATGCCAAAGAAATGAAACTTGGAATCAAGACATCTAGAATAATGTATTAGATAAACTTGAAACTTGGTCTCCTCTGAACCTTCTGAGCCCAGAGAAGTGGCTTACTCCTCCCTGTCATTGACTGTTCTTCCCATTACTTGAGGGCCAGGCCTTGACATTTATTTTGCAGGTAACCAGGACCAACCTCTACTTTCTCTCCTGGCTATGAGACCAGCAATTAGGGCCAAGTCATGACTGTTTCTTCTGTGTCTGATTCTGCTATGGGGGAAGAAGGACCATGAGCCAAAGAAGTTGCAGGCCCAAGCTGGCAGGTCCCAGCAAGAGTTGCAGGAGTGTACACAGGAGTAAGTCCTGGGGTGTTGATCCTGAAGGATCTAGAGCTCAGTACAGTAGAGGCAATGAACACATTGACACAAGCTGCAAGAGGTCATGTTAATATGCTCCTCAGAACTTGGACGCATGAAAAGGCCTTGTGAAGTGAAGCGAGAACTGGAGGAAGTCCCTAGCAGATGGTCAGGAACAGAGGGAGGGGTTCACAGAAATGTCACTGTAGAGTAGATACACTACAGAAAAACAGAAGACTGACCTCCCTCTCTGTTCCACAGGAGGGCGCCCAAGCCCCTGCACTTGCTGCATCAATAAAGAATTTTCTGATGAGGGGCATCACCTTTGAGAATCTCAGGGGTAACTGCTTCCTGTAAGCCAGGATGGATAGGACTTGTTCCTGAAAGTTGGCACACCCTGGGATAATAGGGTACTGAAAAGGGAAGCCATGCGCTTAAAGAGTCAGCAACAAGAAGCACCATAAAGAGCTGCATGCTCCGACTGGCAAGGGAAGAGGCGGGAGCCAGAGTCGTGGAAATTGTTCCTGGACACACTGTTCCCTGTGGAAGATTGGTGGACAGCCAGTTAGAGCATTTCATAACTTACACAACCACGAGAATTAAGAGATTCATGATCTGGAGGCTTAAGGCAGTCACTCCAATGGTCATGATCTCATACCCAGTACCCTGGGCTGAGGTGACATGCAGACCCAGAGCTCATTAACTCATTATGAAAGAGAAATGGTAGGTGCTTCAGCCATGGTTCCCCTAGTAGACCTTTTCCCAAGGGCCCCTCAGGCCACTTTCTCCTGTAAGTAGTCAATGTAAGAAGGGAGTAGCAGTCGTTTTGATAACCATTAGCCTCAGGTTCCATCTGAAATTGCTCCTTGGGGTTCGAGGCATTACTGTGGCCTCAGACTTAGAGTTTGTGGAGGCCCAAGTAAAATAAACGGTTCCTAGTCCAAACCCCGCTTCCTTTTGGCCCACTCTACTCATGCTCCATCCAATGAACACCTCGAGGGTGCCTACAATCAGAATAAACATCGATGTTAGCAGGAAACACAAATTATTTTCTCAGCTGGTGACAAAGGTCAAATGTAAGTCTTTGGAACTAGGTCCTCCATGGAAAAGACTAAATCAGACACAATACCACGATCAGTTTAGATGGGGCATGAGAGGGATTATTGTTACCCTTAATGATGTACCCTTCAGTGATGCTGAGGCCCCCCCAGTCCCATTTAAATCATAAATCTTTCCTCTACAAAGATTAGATGACTCCAAGCTGTTGAGAAAAAGCTACCTCAACTCAACCAAGAAGTAGCCCCATCTCCACTGCTGAGATGAAGTAACTCTACTAGAGCAGATCAGCTCTACCTTAGATAAACACTGTATTTTGGGGGGAGTGTGTTATTTTTCACCATATGAGAAATGGCCTTTCATTCAAAAATAGACAATAATATATACTTATGACCTTGTTAGGTTGAGGTTATTTCGCCTGCTGTCACAATATAGCTGACAGGGACTATGACTCTGCACCTAACATCGCATTGTTCCATTACATTTATGCCATCATATCAATTATATGTGGGAGCTACAAGTGACAGGAGACCTGAGGGCCTGGATATCAGTGCACAAAGAGGGAGAGAGATGACCCTAGAGAGACTCAGGGGCTGCTCACCTTAGTATTTTTTAAGTTCCTATAGATTGGAACATGTGATATTTCCTCTAAAGTAGATGGAAATTGTTCCACTTTTTACTTCACATCCACTGAAAGAGAACACCTGGAAACAGTGCACTGACCTGTTTGTTCACTAAGTGACAAAAGCTCAAAGATATGAATGGGACTGGGAGCAAGAAAGGGCTCTCAGCAGGTCCAGGGTGCAGTCTAGCAGTCCTGGCCGGGCCACGTGACCCACAGGACCTTTGACACTAGGACACAGTGGTGAGACTTCGGAGAGAGTCGATGGGAAACCCCAGCGCTGAAGGGTGGTGTGAACCCATGGTGCCGGTGGGAAAATCCATGCCCTCTGCTCCGCAGCTCTGTTCCATTCAGAAAGAAACACATATAAAATAGCTCCCGTGATGCTAGAAATAAAGATCTGAACATCGAACGGCGTATTGAGTGGCAGTGTGGCCACAGCTACCCCTCATGAGCCGCCTTCGCTCAGACAAACAAGCCAGAGCTACAGACTCAGGGATTCCGTGCAAAGCAGGAGCACACGTGGGCTCAGACCGGAGCAGGACCAGAGGCAGCTGCACTGCTGTGTGGCCCAGACCCGGGCCTCGTGCTGACATCACTCAGCACTGCAGGGCGTCCCCTGCCGCTGAGAGGAGGGAGGTCAGGTCTGCTTGACCAGTGCGGCCTCCGTGCGTGGACCCAGCGGGACACTGCTTCTGCTGCCGCAGCTTCTGTGTGCAGTTCCCTTGCTCACTGTCCGGCCCGGCGGGGAAGCTCCGGACACCGCAGGTGGACTTCTCCCCCACCCTGTTCTCTCCGCCTTCAACAATGCCTTCCCAAGCGCTTCCGTGAAACCTCAGCAAGCAAACGTTTGCCTGAGACTTGCATGCTCGGGAAACTGGATCCAAGGCACTATCTGACTTAGAGTGTTACTTCAGTAACTCCTGCGCATGTGCCGAATCGCTCTGGGTTTCCGGTAGTGCTATTATTGATAAGATAGCAGTGACTCTGCAACAGAGCTCTAAAGCCGTTGAAGCAGGTTAGGGTGCTAGGGTGAAGTGTGCACACGGACAGTCTCAAAGCACGAGTTTGTCAGTGCAGAGGTCTGGAATTATTTAGTATTTAGATATCTGACCCTGTCTTTTGAAAAAGAAAACAAAATTTAGTTTCAGAGTCATCTAAGAACTTTATCTTTTTTCATGACATTTAAGTTTTTATTTTCAAAATTATTTTATATGAATGATCGCTATTTTAAATACCTTAATTTAATATCAGTTATTAAAATACAATCACAGTCTGAACACAGAATCCTCAGTTTATACTTTATTGGTGATTAGCATAACAGTGTAAATTTTTAACTGAAAACAAATCTAACTCTATAGCATATAAATCTTATCATACTACAACAGTGCAATTCAAACCTATCAAATATGTGAGAGGTTATACAAAAATATCCAAGCTCTGTTGGAAATATTGATTTTATTCTAATGTTAGAAGTTGTGTTTTAAGAGACCTTTTCAAAGAAAGCGAGTGACATAAAGAGAGGGTGACCTTTACGTGGGTTAAATCCAATGTCTTCTATCCGGATCACTTTCCTTTCTTAATTGTCCAACAGCTCAGCATCGTCTGTCTCATTGCTGAACGGATATCGCATTACTGTCACTAACGGAAAGGAAAAGCATCCTTTGTTAAAATAGTCATAAAATCTTGTCTGTTAAAATTTGAAAATATAAAATCGACCACTAAAGGTAATAGAAATGGAAATATTTTATTATGTTCATATTTTGTGAAATAATTTTATAGTTAATCATCGATTCAGCAGCTGTATATGTTTCAAAAATATAATTGATGACATTAAAAATATTCACTGATAATTAACAATGTCTCGTTATTTATAATAAATAAAGAATCAAGGTGGTGTTTGAATTAATACATTTTTTTCCCTTAAACACATTACAATAAATTCTATTGACTCTTGTCTATGCTTCCATTGTAAAATGAATTTCTTCGGCTCTCCTAGTAAGCTTTCCAAGTTACCCTGTGTTCTTCAATGTCGGCTTATCTTTTCAGGAACTCTTCTCAACTGGGGCTGACTCTGTTTCTCAAGGCCTGAAGAAACTCACATGGAGGAGTAGAAAAGGGGAGAGAAATCCCCCAGATGCTGCAGAGCGTGCTCATGGGAGGTTCGCTCACAGTGCACCTGGACAACACAGCGAATCTTTTAAAATACCTGAGTCCTGAGCATTCACACTTTGTCCCCCGAGTGCCACCTTGGAGAGAGCAGGTCTGCAGATTGGTTGTCAACCCTGGGCTTTGCACCCCGCCTCCACCTTACAGCTACAAACTTCAGCCATGCTACTCGACCTGCCTCTGCCTCACATGAAAATGGGACTGGTAAATACAGCGCTAGGCTTCTAGGATGGGTGGAAACCCTAAACGCATTTATAGACGTGTCCTTGCTCCATAAAAATTGCCCAAGAATGTGCCAGGTTTTGTCCGATGCAAAAGAAGGAACTCTTGCCTTCTTGTCTGCAATGCACATCCAGCTGCTGGCCTGTAAGACTCGGGAGGTTTGCCTGACAGAGATTCTTTTCTTTTTGTTTGCTTCTTGGTACTGAGGCTTGAAGTCAGGGCCTTTACATTTTTCAGCTGCGACAGGGTCTCCCTAAGTGGCCCAGGCTGCCTTTGAGCTTGCCATCCTTCCAAAAGCCTCAGCTTCACGAAGTGCTGGGATTACAGCTATGGGCCACAGTACCCAGGTGACGGTGACACTCAACAAAGAAACTAATTAAGAAGCTCAGTATTAGGGTATGGAGGGGAAAAACCGAGGCATTTAATATGGAAGATGCTCTCCTGGAACTGGTGGGACTCACATGCTCACCGTAAGCACCACACAGGGTTGGGGGGGCCCAGTCCTCCCAGGGAATGTGCTCTGCATTTCACATCAGGAATCACTCTTACTCATTTCCTTTGACATGATAGTTAAATGACACATTTTTTATTCATTAAGTTTATTGGTACATTTTAGGTATACAGTACAGTTACATTCATCATTGGGGATTTGTACCTTTACATGATGCATCTTGGTTCTTATTTTTTTTCCCCCATTCCCTGCCCTCCCTTCAACCCCTCCACCCCTCCCTATTTACAAAGACTGTGTTTCTATTTTTTCCTTTTCTCCTATTTTTTTCCTTTCTCTTCTTTCCTTTCCCCTACTTCTCCCATTGCCCCTGCTCCTTTAGACCTTTCCTTCCTATTACACAATATCAATTATACCTTTTAGTCCTCATTTACACTTTCAGTTTCTCACACTAGAGAAACTATTCAGTATTTACACAGGTGTGTCCTGTTTATTTCACTTAAGAGGATGGCCTCAACAGAAAGCTTGGTATAGTTAATATACTTTTACTTGTTCTACATTTTGTCAATATAAAAGTCACAATTATTCACAAAGACATGAAATGACAGAAGACAGCAGGAAGATGGAAGGGAGAGACAAGTGAGTTGTTTCCTAACTAAAGAAAACAGTGCGTGGAGTTGGGCCCTCATTAGCTAAGAACTGACTCTTCTTTAGAGGCCACAAAACTACTAGGTATAAACTTTTCTGTTGGGTACACACACATGTGCATGCACGCACACGCACACACAACCATAGATCCTTAATGGGATAGCGGTATTCTAGATTGAACATACATTGAAAAAAAAAATGATTGGGACAGAAACAGTCCTGTGACTGTTCTTGCAGTTGCACCAGGGGATCATGGAGAGTTCTGAGAGAGAAACCCTGAGGACCAGACCAAGAAGGGGTTGGTATTAGTGGTGTAGTGACTTCATGCAGCAGAGGCAATGAGAGAGTACATTGAAAAACTGGTGAAAGCATGTGAGCTTTTGGTGCCCAAGAATATCCATTTCATAAAGCTCTGTTTTAAATATGAAGCTCAACACAACATGCCTCAATTTTAGCAACACGCAGGAAGCCGGTGGAAGAACGATTTCACCTTGATGGTGAGAATGCCCCTGTTCCTGTGGCCCAGAGCCGATGATCTGGCCCCTAGAGGGGTGACCGGCAAGGCTGGGGTCACATGTGGCCCAGAGTGCATGACGTGACCCACTGTGTTTGTTCTCATTTTAAAAATCTGCATTTTGTCTACATTTTTGGTGCACATGATAAAATAGTGCGTACTTCACAGACAGGCACCAAATGTCTTAAAAGCACAAAGATGTGCTGGGATTGTTGCTGAAAATGTATTTTCTAGTAAAGCTATGCAGTGGGAGAAGTGAAATGCCATACTGCACTGCTGTTGTCCCTGGTGTGTAGGGTATCTGCGTCACCCTGCTGTACGTAGATTGTGATTTGTAACTTTTAGGACAGAAAGATGCTTGTCGCTGGAGACCAACACAGATGTGTAGTGAGGTGACAGACAGTTTTCTGTCTTATAAGTCTTTGCTGTTATCTTATGCTTAGCATTCTAGCAGTTTACTCAGGCACTTCAGAGAAAACAATGTTATGTTCTTAGATTCAGTTCAAGGTAAGCTTTCTGTACTGTGATCACACTTTGTGTTATATTAATCATGTGTTATATTTTTTTCAGTAAGTTTATTGGTACATTTTAGGTATACAATATGATGACATTATATTAATCTAGAAAGGACAGCAATTCAGATTGGCATTTTCCAACTGCTCTTACTTTTCACAAAAACCTAAAGTAACTGCTGAAACACACATTTCCAAGTCCTGCCTTTCAAAGTGGTAGGGTAGCGTCCATGAATGTACAAACTGCAAAGCACTTTAGACAATTCTTATGATTAAGAAAATGGAAAACATCCACTCCAGGGTGCTCCTGAACTTTTTACTGCGTTTTTGACAGAGACATTGTCATCCTGACAGCTTTTCCCTCGCACACATAATGCTGATCTAGATTGGCAGCATATGAAATTAACATCAAACTGTAATTGTGTATGTTAGATTTGTAGTGTACCATAATTACTGGGTAGTATTATGGTTTGTAGGTGTTTATTTTGGCTTTATTTACAATCATTCCAAACCCAGGCAACATAATGTTCCTCTCCACCTACACACGGCCTTTTGATGTTGGACTCCTAGGACAGTCCCACGAGGAACCAGCAACCCCTCTTCTGTGGGCCCTCTCCTCTCCTGCTGCTGATCTGTGGGTCCCGCTTCACTTCTTCTCTGCCCTGACCTGCCCTCACTGTTCCTCCTGAGGGTCCACCCAAGCCACTCATGACTGATCCCCCACACTTGAGGACATCACAAGGTCAGTCCCTCTGCGTATTGGCATGTTTCTGGGTTCTAGCTGCACCCTGGGGTCACCAGAGGGGAAGGCTTTGCTTTCAGAGCATTGAACCCTGGTCAACGAGGGCGTCTGTGAGTCAGAAATAAATGCCAACTTCTCTTAACAGGAGTAACACTCACACCTGTTATCCCAGCACTCTGGGAAGCTGAGGCAGGAGATTTCAAGTTAAATCCAACCCTTGGCAACTAAGGGACTTAGTGAGGCCTTGTCTCCAAGTAAAACAATCAGTAAAGGATGGGGTGGGCCGCTCAGTGGGAAGGCCCTTGGTTCAGGCCCCAGTGGGACACCTCCCATTTACAGACAAGAGCACTGAGGCTCAGACAGACAGCTGACTTCCCCAAGACTGCACGGAAACTAAGTGATTCACTGAAGACTCCAGCTTTATCTCCTATTTCCAAACCCCAGTGCTTCCCTCCATACCTTCAATGTCTGAGCAGTGTCTTGTCTGTACTTCACTCCATCTATTGTTCCGGTAAAAATGCCCAGTAGTTCATCTCTCTCACACACATGAGAGAGAGAGAGAGAGAGAGAGAGAGAGAGAGAGACAAGAGAGGAGAGAGATACACAGATACCCTGTTCTAGAACAAAAATATTTTGTAACTGTCACTCGACGCCATTTGTGCTGTTCTGCTCCTCCTATCTCTTTCTTCCTTCCCTCTAGAACATCTTTGGAAGGCCAGCTTACAAGTAATTACTCATTTCATTAAGACATTAATCCCACATCCCCTGAAATTTACTTCTTAAAGCTTACCAGCAATCTCTCCAACAGCAAATCCTGTCTGAAGCAAACATGATTTAAGTGCCCAAGGTTTTCCTGGCACTGGGGATAAATGCTTAATTAATATCTCACATTATCTTCCAAGAACCTCATAATAAAAAAGACAAAGCAAGAGACTAAGGACATTATCTGTCCTGATAAGTGTCTCAGGGGCACCATAGGACTTGTCCATTGCAGGAAGTTTATCCAGGGGCAGAGCTGGCTGAGCCATCTTACTTTGCAAATAGTTGATGAAGGGAAATAGGCATCAGAAAGGACACAAAATGAAATGGTAGTAAAATCAAAATATATGCAATGAGGTCTTTTGCAGAAGAAGGAAGGTATAGCACAATGTGACTAAAACTGAGCTTTATTCTCAGAATTAATGGGATACAGTTGGGTTGGATACAGATGAGAAGAGTGAAGAACATCCCCATTTTCATGAGCTAAGGATATGGGATTTGGGCAGTGTGGACTTAGTTCCAACTCTTTATTTGCTAATAGGAGAATCTGGAACATTTTATGTCTCTCTTCCATGGTTTCATGAGGACTGAACACTAGCATGGCTTTTGCTCACAGGTGCGGAACTGAAACGCTCATGCGGTGTGGACCACACATAGTTTGTGCTATTGTATTGTGGCAGAGAAGACTGCTGTAGGATTTAAGAAACAGGTAGGAAACAGTACGGGCAGTTAGAGGACTTGCCTCATCCTGTGAAAGTGATTAATTAAGGCTATTCAGGAGGTAATGGAGATGAATGGGAGACAACAGAATATATTTTAAACTACTCAAAGGGCAGGGTTTGTGAATTTTCAGTATCGCAAGAATTCATGAATCATTGTGATCAAGAGTAATTAAACAATCATTTTTAATAGTAGAACAACTTACATTGCTCTTGAACTTCTAAGAAATAAGCATTTATAATTTGTTTAATTAAGCATCTTTCTCATAATCGAAACTTGACAGTATGCTAATCACAGTGCTAATTGTGAACCCTTTTCCATTTTTTAAAATACTTCATAAACATATGAATATTGATACAATATTCCACTTCTTACCAGGATCGATTCCACAGCCATCATAAACTACTGATGGCTGGAAGAAATAAATCTGCAATTATTATTTTATTCCACATTTGTATCTGTAGATGCTGATATTATCAATGACCTTATAAATCCTAAGAGGATTACTACTTCACAGTTTACAGCCCCAGTGCATTAGTCATCTGTACTTTGAGAAATCTGACAATTGTATAAAATAGTTTTCTTGTTTACTGTGACTCATGTGTTACTGGTAAGTGATTATTTGCAACATACTGAAAGCTTCCTCACCGTTTCAGAGCAATCTGCTTGTTTATGTTAAAGCTTTACTGGGGCCATATCCAAGACACTGCTCCCTGTGACACAAAACTTCCTGGCAGCTTGAAGGAGGCACCTTCTGTTGATTTCATAACAAAGGCTTGGAGGAGTCAGAACTAGCCAGGCCCCAGGTCATTAGAGACCCGAGAAAGCCCCATGTGGATGGGATATCCAGTGCGCCCAGACCCCTCTCTGAGTTGAGTAGATACTAGAAGGGAAGAAATTGTGTACAACAAGCCTAGGTAGCTCTTTTAATGGGTACTACAGAAATGGGACAGTGGCTGAAAGGGCAAATAGGATCAAGGAAAGTACTTTGAGAGCTGAATACACTATTTTAAGTCATAATAGATAATAAAAATCATGCACAAGAAAGATATATTTATATAGAGAGAGTTTTTTTTTCCATCAGAAGGCCAGCGAGTTGGTACCCTAGCAAGAACTGGAGAGGTGGACATAGGTTGGAGAAGGTCACTTCTGGCCCTGGGTGGATGGGCTACCAGGCAGGCTATGCGCAGGTTAGTGGAGTTCATTTTAAGAGGCTGGGAGAGTTTTTAAATCTGATTATTATCTGCTTGTAAAATGTGCAGGGATATCCCAGTTGAGCATGAGAAGTGGTGGATGTGTTAGCGATTTGAGAAAAGCAAGGCAGCTGTGAATGTTCATCATTGTGTGTGGTAAAGGGAATTTGATTAGGAATCTGTAGTCTACTGTGACTGCTTGGAAACATGACCTCGAGTTTGAAGTGAGTCCAAAACACATAATTGTGTTCTTTTCATCAGGAACACACAGCAGTCACAGAAAGGGTGGTAGATGGAGTCAACCAGGTCTGAGGCTTTTTTCCTCAGGGAGTTTGAAGGAGACAGTGAGGCAGAAGCATGAAATGTTTGTGGGTAGACCAGCAGGCTGGATGATGGAGGCCAAGCCAGTTGAGAAGTGATGTGGCACATGGGAGAGGTGAGGGAGCAAGGAAAATAATGGCATCAGCATGGAAGATTTGGGATCAATTAACCAATGTCTAAATATCTTTGACTAAGTCGGGCCATAACAGAAAGCATGACATATATTTTAACTCATTTTTCCATTATCATGATTAATAATAATAGTCTTGCGGTGGCCATAGGTTTGGTATCTGGAATAGGGAAGAAAAAGAATAGGAAGAAAGGAGTAAGCCGGACTAGTCAACCTGATGTTGATTGATCACTTTCGTGGAGGTTCAATAGGCCATGAAAGACTCCAAGAAACATGCTAGGAAAAATCTTGGGAACCTAAAAGTAAAGTCATTGATGAATTCAAGAACCATAAGAATAGTTAGTGCTTGTTAAAGTGTGGCACACACCTCAAAGTGTAGTAATTTGTGGAAGAAGAAAATGCACATTCGACAAGGAAGAAATGAGGGAAAAGCACTCATCCTCCCTCTCTAGGCTTTGAGATGGAGGGTGTGTGTGGAGGGGGGATTCTACACAGCAAGCTCTTCAAGAAAAGGAAAACAAATCCATTAGTGCAAGAAGGTGAAAGAGCCTGCTGAGCATGTGTGCGCATGTGTGGAAAATGCAGGGCTGAAATGTTCTCAGATGCAGCTAACTTGGACTACGGGGTGGCAGTGTGAACATCTAAAGTAAGAGAAACACAAAAGACAGAAGGAACTCTGGACCCAGTGAAAGGAAAGTTAATGAAAAATCTTGAAATTTGTATACCATGCTTAATGCCAAAACATGGAACCTTTTCCCCACTGTTTCCCATCTACAAAAATAGACACCTTCACAGGATCTTGCCCCGGTTCCAACCCATCCACCAGGCTGCCTCCACCTGGGTTAGCTCACAAGGTCATAGCTGTTCTCTGAATTTCCAGTGTGCCCATTGTACACATCGTGTACTCTGATAAGAATCAATAAACTGCCATGCATTATTCCCGTCAATATTTTACTTATATAATCTCCCAGCTGGGAGGTGAGTTCTTGAAGAGTGAAGACTATTTCATCCTTCTGTAAATTCTCCCAAGTAATTTGTAGGGTGAACTCTACTGTAAAGTTTTTCATAAATATCTGTTACATTAATCTTATTATTTAAAAATAACTGTTAATTACCATCCATTTACTGGAAAAGATTTTACCTATCCAGAGTCGAATGTAGTTTTTTATATAAATTAATTGTGCAATAACATGATCTTCTACATAGAAGACCCAAAAAATTCCACCAAAATATTCCCAGAATTAGTAACTAAATTTAGTAGTGTGGCAAGATACAAAGTCAACACACAAAAATCAATAGCATTCCTGTGCACCAATAATAAACTTACAGAGAAAAACATTAAGGAAATAATATCACTCACAATAGCATCAGGAAAAATGAAATACTTAGGAATTAACTAATCAAGGAAGTGAAAGACCTTTACATTACTCTGAAATGTCTTGAATGTTTAGTTAAATAAATCAGGCAAAACAAGTTTAAATATCATAAGGTTTATCTTATATGTGAAACTCAAAGTATGAATAAAAGCTAAAATACAGTAGATAACAGGAAGTCGCAAGATAGATCTTTTGCAAATGGGAAGGACACGGAGAGATGGCAGGAGGGCAAAAGGCGGGGAGGGGAGGGGGGTAAAGAAGAGGTTTTAGATGCCTTGTGTACAATACCACCTCCCACGAGGGGTGTGGCCACTGTGTGCTGCAAACATGCACTAAGAAAAATGTAAATAGATGAAACATTTTAAGATGTATTATTAGTACAAAAAGCCAAGAGTTAATTCTTCAATTCAGGACAATATACACTTAGGGGTTAGTGTTTTAATTATAATTTTTAAAATATATGTGAATAGCAATCTCAATGAAATCATCTTGACCAGTGTGGCCAGGCAGCAGATATTTGTCCCTGAGTGGCGTAAAGGTCATCACAGGCCTCTGTAGAGAAGACCACACTAGATTATGCAGGAAAGTTTGCTCTACTTAAATTGTTTTTTCAGAATTCAAAAGAAAGGAAAGAAAGAGTAAAGGAAATTGGCAAATAAACTGTGTCATCCATACACATCATCAACTTAGATCTCTACGGGGCAGAGGCACTGCTGTTTTCATTACTGATGTCCCCACGCCCAGTGCCTTTAAACTGGGTGCCAGCTCTTTAGCCTTCAATTTTCACTTCCACCTTCAAACGCACTGCGTAAATCCTCTCATTTCTACTCATAAGTCACCATGCACAATAACTTATATGCAAACGGTTTTTATTGTCTGGGCCTGAATGATTGTATTAGTAACTGTAATGTGGTTTTACTAACCGCTCTCACCTGATGATTTCCAGGCAGCAAGCTGAGTTTTGTGCTTGGCTTGGGGTCCTTACCCAGTGAATTTCCATGGCTACAAAAAAGAATTAAAGAAATATTAAAAAAGATACAGCTAGTACTTATATGCATAATTAATAAATGATGTGATAGTTTACCTTTATAAATCAATAATGTTATATTTAAATAATCCTTAATGTGGCTCTTAACAGATGCCTATGTAAGTCATAATCATTTATGTTCTTAAATTCAGATTAGTAGATGTGTTTATTATTAGTAATTGGTGATATTATCTTTTCTTCTCGATAGAAATGGAGCTGTAAGTTAAAACCATACCCATTTCATTTTATGCTCTCATTCCATCATTAAATAAGCAACTCAACTTAGTAACAGTGGTAATGCTATCCAGGGGCAGCTCCAGGACTGGACCACAGCACTCATTTGGAAATTTGATTTTGCTTTCTTCTCTGTCCTCCTATCTAGAATTTTAGGTGGTCAATTAACACTGATAAATTAGATAAAACTTTACAATTTGATTAATAAATTTAAAATCAATGTTTTATATCTCTAAATTTGAAACACATTAAAGCATATAGGTCTCAAAAAGCCTAAAGTTTCTTTCTGCAAAACATCAGATCTGTTTTTACCGTGGTCCCAAACCTGGCTCCTTGGCAGCGAGATTAGAATGACTCCGCTGTTGGTCGCAGTGAGGGAATAATCTTGAACAGGCGGGCACACTGTACAGGAAAGAATAACAATAACAGACAGGACATTCACAAGGAAACTAAGTGCTTCCTTTTTCAGAAATGATCAAAATTAGTTCCATGCTTTGACCTTAATCAAATAGCATTAAGCTTACAATTAACACCACTATGCAAAAAAATAAAAATGAGTAAGACAGCATCTAAGAATAATGCCCATTAGTAAGTATTTTGTTTGATTATTGGAATGAAAATAATATCCTTAAATCACTTACCTAGAATTTCTGTAAGAAAAAAATCAGTTTCCAATTTGGGGAAAGTAGGAAAAAATAGAAAACAATGTCTTGGATATTAAAAATATATCAGATTTCTCTGCCATCTCTACATTCAAGAAAAATATGCATGCTGTGTGGTTGCCACTGGATACCTGGGAAGAAGTGTCTAGCTTAACAGACATGGCAACACAGCACTCTATTCCCATCATGCACCTTGTGGCATGCACACTCACAGGCCTTCTCCCACCGTATCCTAGGGTTCACCCCAGAAACTCATCATAGACTTTTAAATCCATCTATTATACTTTCTTAATTCACTGTCTTCTTTGCTTTTTTAAAAAACTAATTTATTCAAGAAAATGATATTATGAATCTAAATATTGTTCTAAACTATATGTTGCCTTCAAAAGACATTTTTACACGCACTTCACTGTGTCCATTCCATAGCGAGGTTGTCCTACATACATTTTACTTTCATGCAAATACAATACTCTGCTACCTTTGGATTTTACTACATTACCTCATGGACTCTACACTGTCTTCCAAGATAAGAGGTAATCTTACGTTAGAGAGTAAATATGGTACAGGTCCCATTAACTGTTTCCATTTTTATGCTTCTCAAAAGGAAAATAAATCACCCTTGCACGTAGCTAAACTACATTTTGTGTCTTTCCTTCTCTTCCACCCTCCCCAGAAGCCAGCTTCAGTGATACTTTGTCTGTGAAACTCGCCTTGCATAGTCGCTCCGGGCAAGAGTGAAGGAGCAGAGACAGGGTTTAAGCCTCCTAACCCCCAGCCTGCTCCTTCCTGGCCGGGGTTCCACTCCTCCTGCCAAGTCCCTCTGCAGTAACCACTGAGCTCCTCAGAACTCATACTGACGGCTCTCACTTCCCCCTGTGTCACCTGTCGCACTGTCTGAGCCATAAGGGCCCAGAGATAAGTCTAGATAATCCAGTCCTCCATTGATATTAAATATAATCACATGCCTTGACCTTGTTTATGCATACAACAGCTAAATTCCATTTCTGTATTTTCTGTAGGAATATTGAAATCTCATTTCTTCTCCTTCCTTTCTTTTTTTCCCAAACAGTTCTTAGCTGGAACCACTTGACTGAGCAGTTCGTGAACTAACAATGCTTTTGAACCAGAAGATCTTGCTTAACATCTTGAATCTAACTCTGAAACACTGACACTGTTCTCTCTCGGCTTTGTTGTGATGCCAGGGAGGATAACATCTATGCGACACTGAAAGTAATAGGTGGATTTCCACAGCCTTTCCTCTTCGCTTTCATCCTGTTCTTTTCAAGACATCCTTGATGGACTTTATGAGCTATGGACAAAATCAAATGAAAACGGCAAAGAAAATCTTACTCTTTGAAGAGGCACCACGAGAGAGCATACAGGCACATCAGGAGAAGAGCTCCAGTCAGGGTCAGCACCGCGGGGAACCAGCTATCCGGGCTCCAATAATACAAGATCTTCCTTTCCACAGAAGTAGTCATCTGAGAAACACAGTTCTTATTTACTCAGTGTTAAGGCAGCTATTAAAACACGAAGCACAGTACATGCTGAGTTCATCATCCGGGTCACTGCTTCTTGTTTCTATGTATTCGATATGATTATCACCTGATACTTATTTTAAATATTAAAAAATCTGCATGTAGCAAATTACAAGGCAAAATAAAGTAACCTTCTCCCAATAAAAACACGTTTTTCTTTAGAAATAAATAAAAGTCTTTGTTCCTAGCACTGTCACTGGCCAGATCCTCCTATCTGCTCACTTGGTGAACATTTGTCCCCTGCCTGGCTTTTCCTTCACCTTTACCTTCTGGAATCAGAGATCTCTAGTAACATCTACATATTTCATTGTATCGATTTCCTTCCATTCTGGATTTCTTTCCCTACTGGGAAATAAACTCTTACTGAAAAGTGACCATATCTTGCTCTTTTGGGGGCTTTCCACAGTTTTGGGCCCGGACAAGACATTAATGAGCATTGGCGAAGTGACAGACTGAATGAGTCAGCAAGTGTTTTACAGGGCAAAATATTATTTCACAAATGAATCAGATCACCGTGGGCCTTCTTGCTTCCTGGCATGAAAACACAATTTTTTTTCTCCAAGTTCCATATCTCTCTTACTACCTAAAGCGGGACCATTTAAGAAAGTAGAAACAGGAAGTTTGCTATAGATTCTGAGTATATCCAGGACTCGGGAAGAGGATATGCCAGCAGATGGCAGCATCTGACAGAGTAAGTTTGGTGACGCTCGGAATCCAGGGCGCCATTTCTTCAGGTAACACAATCCAGGAGGTGAGTTTCACAGCAACACACACACACACACACACACACACACACACACACGTGGGGGGGGCAGAACTTTGCAAAAAACGAAAAAAGGGATTGATGATGGCAGTAGAAACAGCACTACTTATATAACTGGGGGGGGTTCGGGTTACTCTTGGATTTTGCTAGTCTTTGAGATTAAATAAATCTGACTAAACATTCTGATTTATAGTACAATGGAACGGGCATGTCTAGACAAAGAGAGATCAAGAAACCAGACTAGGCTGAGTTTGTTGAAATGCTGTGTTCTTACTTTCCTAAATACACAATGCTACACTTTATTTCCAAAGAATAAAATAAATGGATGACAATTTGTCCCTTAATCACTTACCTCTATTTTCAGCTCATTAGCAAATAATACCCCTGCGAGTACCTGTTAGAGAAGAATGTGACTACGAACATGAGACCCAGCCTACACCAGTCTTCCTCCCTCCCTTCCTTCCTCCCTCTGTCTTCCTCCCTCCCTTCCTTCCTTTTCTTTTTTTTCTTGCAAAAATATTTATTCAACAATTTCTGTATTCCAGGAATCACCATATAAGAGATACATAGACTCTTAAAGCCAAAAGGGACCTGGCCATCGTTCATTCATCATTCGTCTTGAGCCAGGCCTGGTGCTGAGCCTCCTGGCTTAGTTATTTCCATGTTCCCAACCCCGTCTCAGCAGAGGGACATTCCCCACCACCTGTGCACAAAGAAGCCACTGAGGCACAGGAGCGCTGTGTGTCCGCCTGAGGGGCGGAGTTGTGGGTCCAAAGACCACGTTCCTTTCTGGACTCCGCTGGACTGCTCACCTCCAATGAGATTAGAGTTGTAAGAAAAAACCCCAATCTAAGTCAAGGGGCCAAGGGGCCATTTTATTAATCACCATAGCCCAGATGCAGTAGAAATTGTCAGTTTTCATCCATGAAAGTCCACCTTTACAGAACCAATTAAAGACATTTAAAAACTGTTTGGAGGTTAAATGAAAGAATCATCCTCACCTCTTACAGCTCACTTGCCTGACAAACAAGGGTATGCTTTCCAGTTTCTTTTTTTTTCCTTCTCTTCATCTTACACACACAAAAATATATCTAATACTTTTATTTTCAAAAAGGAAGCATCTTTCTACAAGGCATCTTTCTAAAAACTTTTTCAAAGTCTAAGACAAGTTTGGATATTCCATTGTTTCAGTAATGATGTAGAAAGAGCAGTCTTTCTACATGGATTAAATATAAATTAATGACTTGTATTTACATAGCATGCTTATTACAAGAGCTTTCATGTATCTGGTTTCATTTGATCCTTCTAACATCTTTGGTACAATACACAGAGCCATTCTAATCCTTCTAGTAATCCATGTACACAGAGTAAATATTTAAACGTGTATTGTGTGCGGCTTGGCACTTTATGCTTTTCAGTTGGTGATTCCAAACGGTTTTAACTGAATTTGAGAGTTAGCACTTCACACTCTCAGTCCTTTGCTTTCCTAGCTTACCCAATTTCACTTTATGTTTTAATTCTTTTTCAACGTTCTGGTTCCCCCAGAAGGATACAACCACGAGGACGAGAGCAGTCGCTTCTGTCCCACCCCTGCAGTCACAGCTGGGCTGCACTCACCACTTCTGGTCTTATCTTGTGTAGTTTATCCTTGCTCTGCTGGCCTACTCTTAAATCCAAAACTCTAAATTTGTATTGTCTTTAAAGCAAAATCCAAAATTCATAGCTTCAACTCCAGATCTTTATCAATCTCCTGAATAGTTATTTTTCTTTTGTTGTACTGGGGATCAAACTCGGGACCTTGTGCTTGCGAGGCAGGCAGCGGAACCACTGAGCTAAATCCCGGCCCTTATTTTTCTTTCGTTTATTATTAGTACATGTTCACAGCACACAAGTCTTCCATTGAAGCTGGCTCATGTACAGAACACATCTTAATTCCTGTCTTCATCCTATTCCCTCTCCTCTGGCCTCTCTTCCTCCGTATCTTGATCTCTTTCCCATTCGAAAAAGAAAGAACTCTCTCTCTACTTCCTATTATCTATCTTCTATTTTGCTCTTTATTTATACTTTGAGTTTTTCTTATAAACCATCCAATATTCAAGCTTGTGTGTCTGATTTATTTCATTTAACATTATGGTCTCGAGGTGCATCCATTTTCCCACAAATAGTTCAAGTTTGTCTTTCTTTATGGCAGAGTATATGCCACTGTGTGTAAACACCACATATTCCTTATCCTTTTATCTGCTGATGGACAGAGAGGCCACTTCCAAGGTTTAGCTGTGATGAGCTGTGCTGCTGTAAAATATGGGTGTGCCTGGGTCCCTGTGGGGTGAGAGCTCAGCTCTTTCAGGAGTACACCTCCAGGAGGAGCAGGACACCTGCCTTTGCGCTCTGCCTCTGGCTAACTGCACACACTGGCTTTGCACACATTTGGTTGCTCTTCTTTTACAAATCAATCATGTTTTCTCACATCCATGTTCCTCAGTTTGCACCACTGATAAATGCCTTGGCTTCGCTCTGCAAATTAAAAGCCTACATAAGATTCAAATTTCTCTTTCTGGAGTTTCTTGCTCTTCAAGCCAGAACGTGCTGCATTGCCTGGCTTTCCCTGCTATACTCTTCCTTCCTCTACGGTACTTGTCAAAATAGCTTGCGATTTGCTTTATTGGAAATGAATCTCTATGTATTGTGGCTTACACATCTGTGCACGATTCAACCTCTTTATTCTTCACTCTCCCTTCCCAGCACACTGCCCTCCTGCTCGGAGGAGTCGTCAAACGTCAAGCATTTCTCTGTCTCTTTCAGTTTTCCTGGATCAGCCAGTTCCTGAGTTTGTGACCTTGCAAAAATTATTTCAACCCCCGGTACATCAGTTTTCTCCTGTGTAACAAGGACAACAATATTTAAAACTTTGAATCTGGTTAAATCATGTGATGGATTCATTTAATGTGAAAATTTAATGTATAAATAGATTTACAAGTATAAATTTCATGAGTAGGCAGGAAAAATTGTTCAAATATCAAGTTGAATGATTTTCTCCTAAAAACAACTATTATAATTTGCTTGAATCCTTATACCCTAAACTGTCTGTAAGTCATTGTAGGCCTTGGGTATAGGAGAGTGCAACATAAAAAATTTGTAAATTCATTTTTAAATGTCTGTTGAAATTTTTTCCTACTGCTCACAGGGTTGCCTAAGCAGACAGCATAAAGCACCAGGGGCAGGGAAATCAATGCCCAGGACTGACAGACACTGGGCTGTGTATGTCAGTGACATTTATCTCCCCTTAGGTAAATCACCAGTGAAACAAGAATTTCCCATCTGTTATTTGGGCACTAAGCTTCTTACAGCTGAGTGCAGTTAATTTGGTTTGATTCATAACCTTAATTACTTAGCTTGTTATATTTTACACGAAAAACAATAATAACAATCTTCCCTGTCAATAAGCCTTTCGTGAGTGGGTATCAGTCACAACAGCTGTCCGAAGCTACGATCCAGGAGAGCACACTTCATATTCCTGCAATGTGTACTCAAGTTGTTCCACTTAACTCTCTTTGAAGAGAAATATTTTTTAATGGTTGTCAATATAAGACTGTTATTCAAGTTTATATTCAGAAATATATATCTATATTTCAAGTTAAATATAGATCAGACTTCTATAGAAGAATGTTACTTTTTAGTAGTAAGACACTAACTTAGATATGCTGGTTTTGCACATCTGCTGAGAAAATCACTATAAAATAAATTGTAGAAAATATTAGTATCTTGGAGAAAACACTATAACTTTTTTTGTCTTTGGTGGGAACTATAAAGGAGAACTTAGCCATTTCACCAAACACTCATGATGAATGTTTTCGACCTATTTCTGTGCTGTCAATCAATTAGTAAACATTGATGAAATAACTAAGCTATGCTATTAAGTATTATTTGCTCCCATGTGCTGGGCACTGCACCGAGGGACTTATGAAATAGCTGTAAATAATCTCCTCAGGCAGATTGGAAACCGAGGCTCATCTGTGGGAAATGACCTGGTCCAGGTGTGCAGTGACAGAGCAGGAGGGCTGGGTCTCAGGTCACCTCCACTGTGGCCCACAGGACTTCTCCAGGATGAGCCACACTGCCCTCTTCCTGCTGTGCTGCTTGGGTCCTGAGATTGCTTATGATGTAAGAACTCTCCACAGAG